GCTTGAGATGGTGACCCTGGAAATTCCCTATAGTGAATGTGACAATGTGGCCAGAATTTACAAGAAAGTGTCAAGTGGGGTGAGGCCTCAGGCCATGAGCAAGGTTAGAGACCCGGATGTGAAAGCATTCATTGAAAGATGCCTTGCTCAGCCTAGGGCAAGACCTTCTGCGGCGGAGCTGCTTAAGGATCCATTTTTCGATGAACTTGATGATGACGAAAATGATGATCATGGCGTACCATCATGACCAAGGATTATCAGTGTAGTGTATCGACTCAATTAGGCATAGATCTTTTGTATTGTTAATATTTTTTAATCCTAGTGTTGCATCCAAATTAGTGGTTGTCCTCTTAAAATTTCTCTTTCAAGTAAGATAATTTAGAAGTTCGGCTCGCACTGTACTAGAAGATGCATTTTATTATTGGATTTTTCAGTCATGTATCTGTATATAAAACGCATCTTTCAATGCGGTGGGAGCCTTTCCGTCAAGCTTCCATATGAACCCTAAATATAAGTTTAATTTGTACATAATGTTTTTACAATATCCAAGTTTGAATGGGAAGAAAGATTGTGTGTAAACTTTTGGTTTTTTGAACATGAATTCCTCATCTTTTTATTATTTTTTTAAGCTTAAATTTCAAACTTCAAACTTCAAAACTACGATAAAGATCAATTGAGATTTGGGTTGTATTTGAAGTGTAAGTCAAAGCAAAATACAACTCAAAAAGGGTTTCTTGTATTGTTTGTACTAATCTTCGAGTTGAAAGAAAGATCTTGAAATCAAGAGAGAAAGAGACCAGTTAAAGATAAAATCAAAAAATATTTTCTATGTTTGTGCTCCAACACTCAAATCAAAAATCGTCTAGAAATCGCCTAGAGGAGGCTGGAAAGGGTTGAATGGGGCTATGAAGAACAAGCTACGTTTTGATGAACAGATAACATATTTTATTATAGGAAGTTGGGTGACATAGAGACCTTTTTCGTATTGCTCTCACACTTATTGCCATAGCCTGGCCATGGTCTGGCCTAACTGGTTTTCCATTTCCAAAAGAAAAAAGTTGGAGAATTTGGCATCAAAGTTTGTGAGTGCTCTGCTGGGGTTTCACATTTCCTTTTAACAAACTTAGAGAAATGCTTTATTCTTTTTCTTTTATTGGAAAATACTATATTCTAAATTTAAACAGTTAAGAAAATTATCTTTCTTTATATAATATAAATTCATTTAATATTTAGTTATACTCTGCAGAATCTGAGTGTATATTGTTCTCTACTAAGATTGGAATACACAGCATTAATATGCCTCCAATTAGTAGTATGGGAGAAACTTTCAACTCTAAATATAATCTCAAATTAAAAGGTTGTTGGTGTTGAGCTGTCTTGATGAATGCCAAAACCTGAAATTACAGGGTAGAAGGTCAGTTAGTAGCAAATGTTCAAAGTTTTTCCAATATTTGTATTTTAACGTTCAAGTTAGTGCTCCACAAGAAAGTGGAAAAGAAACAAATGAAAAGAAGATATGAAAAGTTGAAATTATTTGATAGTACATACCTTTGGTGAAAGTACTGGGTTTAGGTGGTCTAAGCTCCAAGTAACAAGGTTAGGGTTGCCGTCTCCCATTTGAATTGAGCCAGCAATCAACAATTAAATTAAAGAATGACAAATCAACATTTTACGTGTGCCACCAGATGATCAGTTAAAATGATCGACCTGACGTGAAGCCTGAGAATTCAAGTCGACTCAACATATTAACTCAATCAAATTAATTAACTTGACCTTGATTAATAGGGGACTAACACTCTAAAATAAAAGGTTTATTTTACCCTTTAGATCCAAGCATGCCCCTGACAAAAGCTAATGACATAAAAAAGGTCCATTAGGCTGACTTTTTAGCCAAAAGCAAATTTTAAATAACTTGATATAGGGTTTTGTGTAGAAACATAGTTTCCATTTTTTTAATTCTATCTAAAAAATAATCTTTAAAATATTTTTATATAAACAACCAACTAAAAGATAGACAAGAAAATCATCTTTGTTGATGTGGCCTCTAATGCTTGATCTTTGGCTTCCTGTTTTGGGGACATCATAGAACCGATGAAATTAATGTTCATAAATCAAACATGGAACCTGATTTTTTTTTGTTTTTTTGAAGTGTCTTATATTTTGCAGATGATTCCTAGATAAACAGAACCAACCATATAAATGGAAATTGCTAGCTTTAGAGTTGAATTTACTGAGTCATGATAAAGAGGAAGTCTGATTTTTTGCATGTTGCAAGTGAATGAGAAGCCTTTAATTCCAGGAAAAAAACAGTTTTAAATTCAATACTTCAAGGGATAATGTCTTTCCAGGATGCCTGAAAGCTGATAATTGAACTTTAGATCAAATAAATTTCTAGTGCTTTCTTACAGATTGGTATATTCCCATTAATAACGAAATTTTTTTACGTAGGTGTCTGAGAAAAATATAAAAAAAAAAAATTACAGGTGTTGAGATTTAAACTTCCAATCAGCTAGATGCTTACTCTAAAATAGCTGTATAAATCAAATAAGTTAATCCTCGAGTTCCTAGAAATGATGAATTTGACATCCCCAAAGATCAGCTAGTTAGGAAAATGAATCTGTTTATGCATGTTCAGGTAAATTTAAGAGAAAGAAATGGTAAAATATTGATACATCAAGTAAGTTAACTTGTCCATATGCCTGTTGCTTTGTGCTTGTCAATGTATGTGCTGCTTCTTGGCTTCATACCACAAGGTTTCATGGTGAAAAAGAAAAAAAAAAAACAAATTAGTCCAAGGATGTTCCAAAGACGGACATTGTTCTTGTCCAAAAACTTCTGATCACTTACTCCTTGATCATGATGTTTCTCATGAATTTCTTCAACCAAAAAATAATTAAACTATTAATAGTATGATGATATCCAGAAAGAAAAAAAAATTTAGACGCTTAGCGCGTGATTCTGCAGCTTCATCAGAAGAGACTATGATAGCTCAAAGCTGTTATCAGCAACCAACAGATTGTGAGCAAGTTAGTGACGGTGTCTCAGTAATATTGCTTTGGAAACTAAGACAGAAAATTTCCTTATCTGATATATCAAAACAAGGAGGAACAATGATGCATTGTGATTCTATCAAGTTGCCTGATTGAAGTATCCTTTAAGCAAGTTTTGGATGACCGAAGAAAGTAGTCCAAAGATGCAGAGAAGGGGAGATTTTGATCTGCTTCTGAAGGGGCTAACATGCATTGCAGTTGTTCCTCTATTAACCATAGTCTGTATGGGAGGTGAGACATGAACAAGGAACTCAAAAGGAGTTAATGACTTGGCACAAAATCCCTGCTTGCATAAGCCTGAAGGTGTCAAGTGCAATTTGCAGTAGAAATAAGGCTTGAAAATCTGAATCTTAATTAGAAGGGTAATAGATGCAGATGCCGTTTGCATGCTCCAAAAGCTTGAAGTTCTTCGCTTAGCACAAAATCTTAGACATGGAGCTGTATCTAGCTTGATATCATACTGCACAAGGCTGAGGCATATCCAGAGCTTGGACATGTTCAACAATTATTTTACTCCCATCGGTCCACATATCAAACACGAATTCAAGCATGTTTATAAGTATTCCATGGAACCAATTGCATTACAAAGAGATAGGCATTCAAACACAACAGAACAGGATGACACAGGCTGCAGAATGAGTCTCGTGATAATACGAAATTTTGCATTTGGAGTGTTCACATAAATTATGACATGATAATTTTTATATTTTACACTTGTTAAAAATGAAATAGACAAACATGGATACATGAATTGCCAAAGACATCAGACTATAAAGAGAATCAAATGAATCAGAAAAGCTTATACATGGCAATCTAGATAAACTGCTTACTTGTAGCTGTGGTTTACCAAAGACATTTCCTATGCACAGCTCTTCCGGGCTGAAAACTGTTCATCAGGCTGCATTTTCCTATTCTCCCATACCCCATTTCTGTACTCTAATATGAAAAACAACAAAGGCAATCATCATTAATCATAATGGCAGGTGAACATGTTCAAACAATACTTTTTCTGCTGCAACCTGAATTTATGGATTTTAAAAGAAAAAGTAAGACTGCTTTATTTGTCATTTATTCAATACTGTGAATTTTCTGTCATTGAGAAGTAGATGGAAAAAAAAAATAGTGGGATTTGGCCATTTGGGATCATCAATCTGTTATAATGGTTCAACTTGGTTTGGAACTGAATGACTATGTCCATAACTCAATTCTAGTGAATGCATCAAATCCAGATGTCCTAAACAAAACAAAACATGGGATTGGACTTGTGTATAATTATGTTCATAACTCAATCCTCAATGTCAATTGAAGAGGTTCAAGATCAGATAACCTTTGGAGACTTCAAACAATCCAGAACAAGACATGATCTTTGTCATGAAATTGTAATAATTTGATAATGTTGTGTAATCCTTTGTGTTTTTTGTTGGAAAAAAAAAAGGAAAAAGAAAAGATGAGAAATAAAATAAATATGGAACTAACTTGTAAGTTCTAACTCCACTAATTTTATGTGTGGTCTGAAGCCAGCCAGACTCGATCAGGTTCATTGTAACATGAACTTAGAAAACAACAGCATCCCAAAATTTTGGATCAACTTGTCTATAAATATATCCAATAAAAAAATTAAAATAAAATAATGCAAATCTAAGGTCTAATAAAGTTGTCCAAAAGTCTGTTTCAAGATTAACAATGCAAAAGTTGAAACATGATTTGATTACAACATGCCATCCAACCAAGGAATAGATGTCATTTGCTTAATATATCTTATAATTTTAAATATAATATAATAATATAAAAATATAAAAAGTAATCGATTTAAAATTTTAATAAAAATTATATATAAATTTAAAATAATAAAAAATTATATTTAATTTATTAACATGAATTATGATAATTAATTTTCGTATTTTATAAATATTTAATACAAACTAGATCTCACAAATAAAATCAAAACAAGATTTTTACTATTAATTTTCTGTCAGAGAAAAAAAAAAGGATAATCACCATCTCCTGGCATAACTCTTCAGGCAACTCCAAATATTCTTACACTAGAGAAATGCCAATCTCAGTCTCTCTGTCCAAATATATTCTCTCACTTCTCTCCCCACCTCTCTCCTCAAATTCCATTTCTTTTGATTTAATTAAGAGGAGTGGAATAACCAAGAAAGAAAAGAAACAGAGGAGGAGAGAGAGGAGAAGAGAGAAAAGCCTTTTTAAAGAGAGATTTAAAAAAAAAAAAGAAGAACAACGAAGCCTCCTCTTCTGTTTCCATTGTCATCATTTCTCATCTCAAATCTTAATCCCCTTAGCATTTTCTTTTCTGGGTCATTTCCAAGATGGTAAAGTTTCTCCCTTTTTCGTATTCTATCTGTTTCTCTATGTATCTTGATCTTTCCCAGACTTTTCCTTTGACTTGATCCTCATAATTTGGTATCAATTTTAAATTTTTTTGATTGTCAGGGATCTTGGGTTGTTTCCTGATTGGTGCATGAAGCTTTCATATGATCCTAGATTGGATTTGACAACTACCCACCTTGTCTTTAATCAGATTCTGTCTGTAATTCATAACAAAGGGTATGTTGTTTCTTTTAATTTTCCTGTTTGATTGCTGTTATTGTTCACATTTTGATCTGTTTTATTTTTTTCTACGTAAGGATGGATCCTTTTTAGCTGCTGATGATAATTGTATAATTCAGGATTGGTTTTTTAAGTTGTGAAGGAGTTGCATTCATTCAGTTGGTGTTAGAATTCTGATTGAATTTGAAAATTTAATCTTTGAATCCAATTGTGGTACTTGGTTTTGAGAAAAGTTCAGATTTTTCATTGAAATTGGTGGTTGATGATGGTGATTGCAGATAAGATGGAATCAGATCTTGGTAAACTCTTCGTTGGTGGGATATCTTGGGGCACTGATGAGGAACGTCTCAAGGAGTATTTCAGGAAATATGGAGAAGTGGTGGAGGCAATGATCATGAGAGATCGTGTCACAGGTCGTGCCCGTGGCTTTGGTTTTGTTGTCTTTGCTGATCCTGCAGTTGCTGAGAGGGTAATTGTGGATAAGCATATGATTGATGGTCGCACGGTGAGAGCCTTGATTATGATTATCCTTTATACATTACAGGTTTAATTGGGACTCTATATATATTTCTTTTGGTCTAAAATACTACTAGAAAATGCCTATAGAGGAGGAATGCTGTTTGTCCTCAACAAATTAGAGATTTGTGATAATCACAGTTAGATAAAGTTTGCCAAATTTTCCCCTTTCTGTGGACACCAAGTAATGAATTTAAACTATTTTGTGACATTGACTTGATATGATTTTGTTTCTGGCCAAAAAAACAGAAATATGATCTTGTTTGAGTGAATTTCTATCCAATTGCTACTTTGGGACAGAAACTGTGACTCAATTGTTTGATTAAACTTGCTGTCTGCTCAATTTTCAGGTTGAGGCAAAGAAGGCTGTTCCTAGGGACAATCAACACATTCTAAACAGGAACATGAGTGGCATCACTGGATCCCCCAGTCCTGGACGCACAAAAAAGATTTTTGTTGGAGGTTTAGCATCTACGGTCACTGAGGGTGACTTTAAAATCTACTTTGATCAGTTTGGTACAATTACTGATGTTGTGGTGATGTATGATCAGAACACGCAGAGGCCGAGAGGGTTTGGCTTCATCACTTATGATTCAGAGGAAGCGGTAGACAGAGTCCTGTATAAAAGATTTCATGAACTCAACGGGAAATTGGTTGAGGTCAAGAGGGCAGTTCCTAAAGAACTCTCTCCAGGCCCCAGCTGCAGCCCTGTGCTTGGATATAATTATGGTTTGAGTAGGGCTGCCAACTTCCTCAATAGTTATGCTCAGGGATATAATCTAAGCCCACTTGGAGGCTTCGGAGTCAGGATGGATGGTAGATTTAATCCTCTTGCTAGCGGTCGAAGTGGGTTTCCTCGATTTAGTACCAGTGGCTATGGAATAGGTATGAATATGGAACCAGGAATGAGCCCAAGCTATGGTGGGAGTTCCAATTTTGGCAACAATCTTGGATACGGGCAGATAATTAGCCCCTATTATAGTGGGAATTCAAACAGGTATAACACTCCTATTGGCTATGATGTTGGAAGTGGAAGAAATGATTCTATTTTGAGCTCTGTTACTCAGAATGTCTGGGGAAATGCAGGCCTTAACAATGTCACAAATGCTTCCAGCCCTGGTGGTTACTTGGGGACTGGAAGTGGGAGTTTTGGTTCTTTAGGAAGTGGGCCTAATTGGAGCCCTTCTCCTCCTGCACAAAGTGGAGGGAATGGTTCTGGCTATACTGGTGTGAGGGCTGGTTATGGGAGTACTAATGACAACTATGGTTTGGGAGGGGGAAGATATGGAAGAAACAGTAGCACTGTTGCAGCTCCAACATCATCATTTCCTGGGTCAACTGAAAATTTTGAGGGGTCCTATGGGGACCTTTATCGCAGTGGCTCAGTTTATGGTGACTCAACTTGGCGGTCTGCAGCTCCTGACTTAGATGATTCTAGCTCGTTCAGTTATGGGCTTGGCAATATATCCTCAGGTGTTACTGCAAGAACCTCTGAGGATTATGTTGGAAGTTACAGTATCACAAGTAGACAGTCGAACAGAGGTAATATTCTCTTTAGTTTCATGAAGTGGACCTTTAGAATAGCCTCTGACTTTAGGTTAGTTCTACTCAAGATTCACCGGGATAGAATTAACTACTTCCAACTTAAAGGTTTCAGCTGAACTTTCTTGACTCTAGATGAAAATTTCCTTGTGCTGGAAGTTAATTGCAGTCATAGTTTCTCGATGTTTGAACCCAAAGCTTTGGTGTCTATGATGTTAGGTACTATAACATAAACTAGTTTCTTGGCATCTGGTTAGCGGAGGGAGTCAAAAAGAACAAAGATAAGGTCATTAGTTTAAGGGGGAACTGATTTGTTTGAAGTTCATGGAGTTTGAATTTAAGATGGAGATCATACTTGTTTTGCCATTTAACAGTTGTTGTGGAATACACTCTGAAGATTATCTTTAGTCATGTGTCATGTCTGAATCACCTCCTGCAAGGGCAGCCTACTGTTTACTTTTCTTGTGGCACCCTGATAGAATCCATAAGTGTCATTTTTTTTATCCAACCTCCTTGCATTTATGCTTGCTTTTTAAACAGTTTGCATCAATGAATATTTGTCAGGACTTTTTCTTGGGGCCTGTATGAATTTGATATTGTTTTAAATAAATCAGAAGAAATAATCAAATTTAATTAGTATCATTCCTGCACTCTATCATGGAGACTGGAATTTCAATAATCTAAATATTATTAATTTCGTAGGACTGAATCACCAAAAGACAATTTTTTTTACGTTCAGATACTTGAGCTTGATTCTAAACATTTTATTTATGCTGATATGTTGAAGCTTGAGAGGTGAATGCCAGCTTGCTGCATTTGTTAATTCATCTATTTGTTTGTTTCTTATTCAGGAATTGCTGCCTAGGTGATCTGTTATTCAGATATCAGAAGTTATAATGTAGGGTGAATGAATTTGCGCAAGCAGGTGAAGGATTTGTGAATTTGATACAACTGCCTCATTACCATGTCAGCTTACAAGGAAATTGACCGTATAGCACTAACGCGGGTTATTGATTTGAAATATACATATTCAGAGTGAGCAAGGGATTTTATATAAAGTTTGAGATTTGATTTTTTTTTCTATTTTATTTTAATAGTGAAAATTTAGGTTCCTTTCTTGGCATTTGAGTGAGGTGTAAAATCAGATCATGGGATATATACACCAGAAGGTGGGTTCCAATTAATGCACGATGCATCTCCAGCAAGGCATGCCAGTAGTGGTACATCAAACAATAGGGTATTAATCTTTTTTCCTTTTTCCTTCTAAATTTTTTCAGCTGCTGTAATGCCTGGCATATTTGCAGGTTCTTGTCCCTATATTTTCTTCATATTATCTGGGTTTTTCTCTCAGATTGCAAGGAGTTTCTGTTCAATTTACTAATGTGAAACATTAGAGGGATATCCATATAAAATCCCGATCAAATAAGTTACAAAATATTTTGATTTATTTTTTATTAGACACTACATCAAACAGATTTGACCCTTAGACGGATATTAAGTGATTGCATGAACTAATTGGATTAAACCTTGGGATCACGTCAAACATCTTTACTCATGGTATATTTGATAACTGTTTGCTTTTTTCTGCTAAGCTCTTCGTCAGTTGCTTTCGACATCTCTTTTTCTTACCTTGTCATATAAAAAACATGAGAGTCATTTGCATCCTATTAGGTTATTAGAGACTTGATTCCTATGGCTGTGATATACAGATATGATCGAAGTTTGGACTTTTTTTATTTGTCTGCAATGCTATAATTCTGCATTAACTGCCATTCTAGTTGTATTTTTCAGAGGTTTCCATCTGCTGATAAACATTCAGTTATTAGTTATCAATGGCCATCCTGTAGCCATACCAAGCTCTTATCCATATTTCCATATAGATATATATATATATATATATATATATATATATATCTTGCCTGGGTTTTCAAGTCACTTTCATTTGAATTTTACTTTGTTAGTGGCATCCAAAAATAGATACTACCATGTTTGTGGTCCTATGTCTACCATTATGTGAAGTTTTATGGCATTGGTGCTCTGATAGAGAGCCTTGGACTTGCTGGTTAGCTTTTTGTCATGTGGATTTTAGGAGGCTGCCACTGCCCAAATCTCTTTTGGGGTTTCCATTTTCCACTTAAAAGTTGCCAAAATCATGATATCAGCTTGCAAAATTTATCTGTGAGCAAGGCCCTAGGCCATCTAGGACGTAATTAATCAAGTTAGCTCAAGTTCGAATTTGAGCTCGACTCCAAATTTGAATATCGAAACTTGATTTAAGCTTGATCGAATTTTATATTTTTAGGTCAAGATCGACTCTGAGATAAAAATTGAGTTAATCAAGTTCATTCGATTAATTTCGATTAATATGTTAAAATAAATTTGATTATTTGTGCTCGAACTCATATTTAAGTTTGAAATATTTTATTAATTAAAATATATTAAAATATAAAAATTTAATTAGATTCGTAAATTATTCAAATCGAATATAAAAATATTTAAACTTGGTTCAATAAATAAACGTATTATTCAAATTTGAGTTTGATATGATAATAATCAAGTCGAATTTAAATAATTTATAAATATTAATATATCATTTACACTTTTAATTTGGATAAAGTGTTCGGAGCTCAGAGTGGAGAAACTTTCATGATGAAAAAGAGTAAATCTTTTTCCCCATTGTGAAATATTTAATATTATATCTAAATTTTAAAAAATTTATAATATATTATCTAAATTATGAAATGTTAATTAATATGATATTTAAAAAGTTGTTCTATTATTATGTGTTATCATTTGAAATTAATCATGTTAAAAATAAATATTATATCAATTAATAGATTCATAATTTAAATATTATATTATATATTTTTAAAATTTAAATATCGTATTAAGTATATTTGGATTAATGTTATGAATGATTTTTAAATCATAATAAAATATTTAATTTGATATTCAAATTATGAATTTATTAATTAATTTGATATTCACTTTTAACGTGATTAACTTTAAATGATGACATATGATACATAAATAATCTTTCAAATGTCATTTTAATTAACAAATTTATAATTCAAATATCGAATTAAAAAATTTTTAAATCTAAATATCACATTAGATTTTTTTTTTTAATAATTCAAGGATAATTTTTAATATTTTCTCAATATATTATTACATTTTAGAGATATCTTTTGTAATATTAACCATGTTATACTTGTAAAATCTGGTGGTAATAAGATGTATGTTTCAATTATTCAAATTTACCATATAAGAAAATCTTGAGGAATATTAATAGCCAGTGTCATAATTGTTCTATCTCGGAAATGAAATCATGACATTTACTGGGGTCCGAACTAAGCAGAAATTTTGTACGGCCCTGATTGCACCGTAAATTCACATCACTCGAGCCATGTTATATTTCTTATAATTTTTATCAAAAAATATTAAATTTGATAATTTTAAATATAATATAATAAAATAATATAAAAATAATTATATTTAAAACTTTAATAGAAATTATAAAATCAATAAAATCAATATTTTATATTTTACATTTTTATATTTATATAAATTGTAAAATATATTCTGAAATAAAAAAACTCTTTTACCCTAAATTTTTAAATAAAAATTCTGAAAAATATCCAACCATGCTTTTACTGAAATAAAAAGTCAAACTTCAATACGATTGTTGGGGTCCTGTTGGAACAATGAGATCCCATAAAAAGAGGCTAATTTGTCCAACACTCAAGTGCCTAGTTCTTCTTACTTTATAGGATGCTTCGTTGTCTTCCTTCAATGAATGACAAAGTTAGAAGTACGCTTATGATTGTAATTATAATACGACAATATGATATAAAAATAATAAATAAATTTAATTTAATTATATTTTATATTTTAATTATGTTAACATGATTAAAATATGGCATTGGACAAGGGAGGACCCTGGTAAATCCAGTTGAACAAGCTGTTAGAACAATTGGGATGAAGAAAAGACTTTCAAAGATGAAGATACAAAGATGTCAGTATGGAATCTTGCCGGTCAGCATGAGTTCTATTCTCTTCATCATCTCATGTTTCCGGGCCATGGGAGTGCCTCATTTTTCCTGATCATATCCAGTTTAGCGAAGCAACAGAGAACCAAAGACTCCAATGGAGATTGAAGAGGACTTTCAATATTGGCTTGGGTTTATTCTGTCCAACTCGAAAAGGGCAGTCCAGCAATGCATGCTACCCAATGTAGCAATAGTCCTCACACTATGACAAAGTCAATCAAACATCTCGGAACTTGCAGGCCACGCTGAATTCAATACAAAAACTGAGAGACAAATTTAATGGCTACATTGATTTCTATCCATTTGTTTACTGTTGATACATGATCATCTGCATCAGTCACTAAACTCACCCATCACATCCGAAAAACAAGCAAGACTGTTCTCCAGAGAGTTCCTCAGGTTTATCAGCTTTGCAATGATCTTATATAAATTTTATCTGATTGGAGATCAGAGAACTATAACAAGCCAGTTATGAAGTGGAAAGAGTTTTGCTGATCTATGCCAAGTTAAAGTCCCACCTCGGAGGATTCGATCTCGACATGATAATAAGGCGAAAATCGAAATGAGGAAGGCTGTTGCTACTTGTCTTCATCATATAGGGGACTTAATATATTTTGATGTACTAGGCTTTATAATTTTGGATTGTGAGTGGTTTTGTGGTGAAGTGCTAAGTCAACTGATAAAGTTAAGAGGTTAGAAGGCAAAGCTCAGCAGATAATGGATTCATCAGCAGGAGAGAACCGGAGAAGATTCTAAGAGGAAATTTTCAAAGCCAAATTCCTGGAATTGGTTCAAAGGTGTTTGAGAACTTAGAGGCCAATGACCTTGTAAATCTGATCTAAATTCTCCGCTGTTGATTCCCTCTATTCTTGAAGAAGGCAGAGAGAAACCACAGAAATGGCAATTAAGTGGGGCTGCTTGCCTTTATACAAGGCGACATCTTCAGTGTGATGATTCAAGCCATATGTTATTTACACCAGGCTTCTTTCCATGTTTACAGGCAAGAGCTTTACCTTATTTCGCTGGTCTGCCTTTTCTTTCATTGCTCTTTCACATGTTAAGCATTTCGTTTAGATGCCATTAAATCTAATAGCCATATCATCCAGAATTGAAGCAAGACTGTAGAAACAGGCCTTATATCATAAGTAGGGATGTAAATGAACCGAATATGAACTAATTTTGTTATGATCATGATTTGTTCATTTAATAAATGAACTTGAAAGGTTGTTTGTTATCATTTATTAAATTTAATAAACAAATATAAATAACAAAAAATTCGGCTTGTTCACACACTTTCATGTTATAAATGAATTAAATATTAATAAATTTTATTATGTTCGTAATATGTTTGTTTAATTAACAAATTCTGAAATATTATTTATGATCATTAAGCTTAATAAACAAACAAATCGAATAGAAACTGAACTGATGTTTTTCTACGAAGTGTGAATACGTTTCATCATTCTCTTTGCATTAATATATCAATGATGGCGTAAATAAAAGAATTGACATATGTACACCATGAGATCATTTGATTAAGCAAGTTTTTTGATAGATCATGGCTGAGGGAGAAGTGTACCAGAATTCATTCATTTTCGATTCTTACACTCCTATAAATAAATGTACGGTAAAAATTATAACTGTAAAGATATACTGGTCAAAAACTATAACTGTAATGTAAAGTTATACCAGCCAATCACATTTTATGATTGTGATGTAAATCGAATATGAATACGTGTCCACTGATGTCTTGAATCAAATCATGCAGAACAGGCAAAAGC